CTTTTCTACATGTAATGTATATTATGATCATTTTGGGGACACCTGCAGTACAGAAAATCTGAAATCACACAAGCCCTCCAACCAAAAGCCATAGGAGGAAAAACAGAAAGCAGTATCATTCGAGAGAAGCCCATTTCTGAAATTGTTCCAATCTGCCGTTCAAAAGCCTTTCTCCAAAGAGCAGAACTTAAACATACAGTAGTTTCTTAAAATACAAAATATTCAGACCTCCTCAAGCAGGCAACATTTTTTCCCCATATCAGATAATATCTCCAAAAACTTGTGTATGAAAACTATGAAGGCTGAGGATACGCTAATGTGACTCATACCCATTTCCATGGGAAAATGTTCTGATTCAACATTTTCTGGGAAGTCTCTCTCTCTCTCTCTCTGCCTGGGGACTGCCCAAGCAGAGCTTTTATTGCGTAGAAATACTTAAAACTCTTTTATTGCATCTTGCAAACCAAGGAAATAATAGATTTGGATAGAAACGTCCGGAGGGGAAAGGAGGTTCCTAGAAATTCTAGAATCACGGTGGCAGATTTTTTTTTTAAAATCCCATTATCCTAATTAAAAAGGATTTCGACAATTTAGAGACATGCTATCTTATGGTGTGAGTGGAATGCTTTTTAGGCCAGAATGTATTTATTCAAAACATGAAATATGAAGCCTAGAAATGCAACATTCAGAAAAGGAGCAGGTGGCAATCCTCTGCTGCTGAAACTCCTGGAAAACTTTGCTTTAGTTTGAAACTAAAAACGTCTAATTTGCAACTGTTCTTTCTCTTATCTCCTAATAGGGGTACCTTTTCATATCTCCATGTAAATTGCCACAATAATGCATTCAAGCAAGCAATTAAAGTAATTAGGCCAAGGTAGTTTCTCGATGTCTTGGCAACTTTTAAGACGGAATGGACTTCCATTCCCAGAATTCCCTAGCATGTTGGCTGAAGTCCACTAATTTTTAAAGTTGCTGAGATTAAAGCAGCACGGCTTTGAGGATGGGAACAAAAGCAGGTGTGAGCCAGTATTGTGGGGTGTAAAGAACAGTATATTAAGCCACACTCTTAACCAAATCCCAAAGAAGAATGCATTTAGCTTAAAAGTCTGAATATAGTTCTGTGACTTAAAAAAATGGAATGCAATCTTACAATGCTGAGTTATAAATCATGAACTTACCTTTATAAACTCAGGCAAAAAGTACTGTAACATTGTTCTTCTTTCATCCCAGTGGTGGGTTTCTCCCGGTTCTGCCCAGTTCCGCCGAGCTGGTAGCGGTGACGATATGATGTCACTGAACCAGTTCTGCCCCCCCCTGCGCCCCCGCCCCCCCTGCGTTATTCTTACCTTTTATTTGGCCCCACCTCTATGTTTAAACTCTTGCCGCAGGGCTTCAAAGGGCCGCCCTACAGCTGATCAGTGTTAAAAGAAAACAAATCAGTAGACCGGTGCCTGGAAAAATAAATGGGTAGACCAGTGCCTGCAGAAATAAATGAGTAGACCGATGCCTGCAAAAATAAATGGGTAGACCAGTGCCTGCAGAAATAAATGAGTAGACCGGTGCCTGGAAAAATAAATGGGTAGACCAGTGCCTGCAGAAATAAATGAGTAGACCGATGCCTGCAAAAATAAATGGGTAGACCAGTGCCTCCAAAAACAAATGAGTAGACCGTACAGCTCTGCAAGCAGTTAAAAGCCTGGTAGACCAGTACTTCTGCTAAATCCTAAAGAATTGTCACATGACCATCAAGCCACGGCCACAAAATAAGCCACGCCTACAGAACTGGTAGTAAAAAAATTTAGAACCCACCCGTATCATCCCCATTGCATTATTTTGCCCCTCCCCCTCAGTTTCAACCAACATAGGAATTTAAACTTTTGTTTTAAACAGGTTTAAATTGCCCCGCTATCCAACATATTTTAAGAATGGAGAACCATAAATCGTCACAGCATAAATATGATGAGTCAAATCAAAATGGAGTCTATCTCGCTCCCCTGATAATGAACCAGGTTTGAAGAGAAGAAAAATGATTTTTGCTACAATCTGGGCTTTGATATTTGACCACTTAAATGCTAACATCATTAAACAAGTTGCCAAAACACAAATACACAGCTGGTGGGAGGAAAATTTAATTAGAATTTGACAGCTGGGTCCTCTGGTTGGGGAGACTCCGAGGAGTCATTTCTTCCTTAAATACTGAATACAAACCAGACACCCAGCTGTTCCCCATGGCAGCTCCTGGGATTGGTGGAATTAAGAGTTGTAATGTTTTCTACCTAATTTATTGTTCATTGTGTAAACCCGATATAGGAGTGAAGGTTGGGATATGCAACAGTCAGCATAACATACACCTACACATGTATAGTCTTTAATAGTGGCTGATCTGATAGAAATTATTTGCAAGTCCTATTTCCCCAGCTCATATCATGGATTTGCAGATACTGAAGCATATACTCGATTTGGATGTTCTTGGGATCTAGAACTGGAGGTGATTGTAACTCAGTTTTTTCTTACCACTGATATATTATGTGGCAGCAAGTCAATTTTTTGAGTCCTAGAAGTTGCAGAGAGTTTCTCCTTGATAATCTATCCCTAACCTGATCTTTCAGGTTTTCCAACAGTACACTCATCACCACTGTAACTGAGTCCATCCAACTTTCTCCTGGTCGTCCTCTTGTTCTCATTCCTTCCACCTTTCCCAGCATTAGAACCTTTTCCAGAGAGCTGGGTTTTTGCATATTGTTTTCAAAGTAGGATAATTTGAGTGTAGTCAGTTTTGCCAGGCTGAATGAAAATTCTGGGTTGATTGATTTGATGATGTATTTGTTAGTTTCCTTGGCTGTCCACAGTATCTTCAGGTCTTCTCCAACACTCCTGCTATTCTGTTTCTTCAAAGTCCTATTTTCACTTCCATAAATACCGTGGCTTGCACAATTCTGGTCTTTGTGGGTATAGATACATTACAAATTTTGAATATCTTTTCCAAGGCCTTAATTGCTGTTCCAGCAAATGGTAATACACAACGTATTTCTTGACTGTTGTCCTTGGGTTAATAATAGGGCTTCAACACTAAGCAACAAAGTCAGAAAGGACATCACGTGACTGCATGGCTTAGCAACAGCAATTCCATCACTCCCGGTTGCTGCTGTCATGAAGCAGATCAATCTGGGTCATCAGATGATGATCTCATATGGTGGTCATTTTCAACTCCTGCTGGCTTACCTATAGAGTTTGTTTGTCAGAAGCCAGCAAAGGAAGTCACAAATGATGACCATATGGACACCGTGATGGCAGGAACCCCAAGGGCCAGTCACAAGTATCACTCATTCGGCACCATTGCAGCCTTGAAAGGTTGCAAAATGAGTGGTTGTGAAACAAGGATCAACTCTTCTATTTTATTTCTTTAGTATAGGAGTCAGCATTTTTTTCCAACTCTTCATAGGGTTGAATGATCGTAGGCAAAAGAAAAAGTCACACTCTTGCTGGAGTTCATAAACTTAGAGCCATGCTGGCACAGTGGCTTGAATGCAGTATTGCAGGCTAATTCTGTCAACTCCCACCAGCTCGATTCTGACCGGCTCAAGATTGACTCAACCTTCCGTCCATCCAAGGTCAGTAAAATGAGGATCCAGATTGCTTGGGGAGGGGCAATATGCTGAAACCACTTAGAAAGGGCTGTAAAGCACTGTGAAGCAGTATATAAGTCTTATTGCCATTGCTATTAATACTGTTTCCCCTATAATAAGACCCTGTCTTATATTTTTTTGAACCCTGAAATAAGCGCTTGGCCTTATTGCCATGCGCTCAAAAGCTCGATTGGGCTTATTATCAGGGGATGTCTTATTTTTGGGGAAAACAGGGTAGATCTGGTCTAAAACCATTCCATTCAGGACGAATGCAACAGGCACTCAGGCACCAAGTTGCCAACCACTGTTCTAATATCAATGAACTATAGTGGCCTTCCCCACTAGTGCATTCTGCATCATTTGCTATTGCTTTGCTTTGCACTTAGTCCTCTTGATCAGGGCAGTTCACAATTTAATTTGTCAAATAAATGTTTGTGGCTGCTGAATCATTCTTTTAAATTAAAACTTTTAATAGAAAAAAATAGTACACACACACATATGCATTGCCAGGGAATTCTAGGGAAGGAAAATGCCCCAATTACTACCTCACCACTAACTTGTTAACATTGCAGCTGCTGTTGAATTCTTTGAAAAATTCTATTATGGCAAGACTCGGTAACCACAGTTTTCTTGGCACACAAACCAAAGGATAAGATTCTCCAGCTTCTCAACCAACAGGACTTTATGTTCACAGAGTCCTGGAGGTTTGGAAGAGCTGCTGAAGGAATGGCTTTCTCGCAAGACACAGCTATGACCAACTTTCCTGAGGGTAGAAAGCGAGTCTTGGACTTGTGCGATGAGATTAATTTAATGGTTGCTGCTCTACGCAGAAACACATCCTTTCAAGATAACATCAGCATTTTTACCTTCGTTGAGCATTTCAGCAATAATAGGACAATGTCATCACCCTATCTGCGTTCCTCCTTTTGGAAAGATATTCTCGTAACACTACAAAAATATTTTGAATGCTGACAATACGGTGAGATGATTTTTCCAAGTTTGTAATTATTATTTTTTAAAAAAAAACATTTTATTGCATGCAGTTTAATGTATCAAATGTGAATGTAAGGATCAGCCTATATGGCATAACATTTGCCAGCTGGAAACAACCTGGAGGTCATGGATGTCCACAGAGGCTGTACAAAGTTTTTGCACTGAATAAAGAGGGTGACCTGGAAGAACAGAAGGAAGAATAGATGGGGAATGCCTACAAGAACGAAGAATAAAGGACATGAGAAAGAATAAAAGGCAAATAAGGAAATGGGAGAAAAGAAACTCAGGCACTAGTGGCAAGAGGACCACAGAAAGGATGGAAGGGAAGGTAGGAAAATAATCCAAGGAGGCAAGTTATTTTAAAAAGGCCCATAAATCCAATTATATTTAAATAAATATATTTGAAAGATCAGCCACTCAAAGCAACTCAGATACACATGAATTCTCAAAAGAAGTATCGTTATGTGAAATAGCAGTATTAATTGTGGCAGCACAGCAATATCGTCTAACTAGCAATGCCTAATCTCTCACAGAGAGAAGCCCAAGACTCTTAGCAAAGACATGGGAGAGATCCAAGCATCTGTCAATTTTACGATCCTGAAATGCTGTGTCACAACCCCTAAAAAAATGGTTGCTAAATAAAATATAGAGAACATTTATTAACAAAATAGTAAAACTCAACAAATTAAAAATAAAACAAACCTAACAATCTGACAATATCCTTCCAAAAAAAAAAAAAAAAACCAAAAAAACCCTGTTGTCTTGCCCTTCAAAAATAAATAATAAGGATCCACTGTCCCAAGATGCCAAACTGGAGCAGGGACACCATTCTGATAATTGGTCTTTTCTCCATCAAGTAATTCTTCTCCTGGAGGAAAGGATTATATATATATATATTTTCTGCCTGCTGGAAGCAGATCATGGACATAGCTTGAGGGAGATGAAAGTGACTTTCCGACATGTCTCAATTTTGATACTAGTGTACGGCAAAGAGAATTCAGCTTTCATTGGCCTCTGACATGAAATAAGATTACGAACAACTGTATCTAGGGCAAGGATCAAGATGTAAAAATAAAATGGAATACGTGTGTGTAAACATAAAGCAGAAATACTTAAAAAAGTTGTCCAATGCTTAATCCCAATACTGGACGATTCATGTTCCAACAGACACTGAAGCAGATGATACCATGTTATTTGATCTTCTTTCTTCTTGAGGTCAGTTGAAAATCCCTGGATCAACATAAGGGTAAGCAAGGAACTCTCCCAGCTTGTTGCCATCTGCATCATAATGGAGTGTTTGAAAACAGGCATCACAAAAGAATGAGGGCTCTTGTGGAGCAAGGCTGTCTTCATTCGTTACCCACCTGTAAGGTCCAATACCAAGAAGGTCACGTTCTGAAGATATGACTCCATTCATTCATTCATTCATTCATTGCTTTGAAGCCGCATCAATAATCTGATTCTAATCAGCCTACAACCAACATACATATAACAGTATCGTAATTTTTTTTAAAAAAATCAATTATTGATATTATCAAAAATACCTGCAATCCACAATTATATTATTACAATCATAACACCATAGTACCATAGGTTACCAACCAATGAAGATTCATCTCATGTTCAGGTACCTCTAACCCTGCTTGTCTCAGTCCCCAAATGCCCATTTAAACACACGTTTGCAGAGGCTCCTAAATTTTAAAAATGGGCGAAGCTTGCCGATTTTAACTTTGAAAATAGATCTGTATCTAACCAGACTTCAGCTTTTCCCCCTGCATATTAAAGAAAGTGCTTGGTTGTAATTATGATTGCAACTTCAAAGGAAAAGTAAAGGACCAAGACAGCACATCTCTTCCTGCTTTATGTGAGAAGCAGCAATACTATTAAAGAGTTCTCCACTCTTTCTGAGATTTTTCATTTATGGAGTAATATTAACAGCAAATAATCCAACAAATTACCTACAAATGTATTTCCTCACCTGACCTATTAAATGTTCTGTATTTTTTGGACTATAAGATGCACCAAGATTTCAAAGAGGTAAGTTAAGAAAAAAAAAAGGTGTTTGCTCTTCCCGGCCACTAGGAGCACTCTGCAAGCCTCCCAAACCCTCCACGCGCCCCATTTTTCGCAAAAACAGGCCAATTTTTTTCGCAAAAATGGGACGAGCAGGGTCGGGCTTCAGGAGGCCAAAAATGGCTGTATTCGATGTACAGTATAAGACGCACCAACATTTCCACCCTCTTTCCCTCTTTTAGGAGGGAAAAAAGTGTGTCTTGTACTCCGAAAAATACGGTAGTTACGGTAGTTATATGGGCAACATGGAACAACATTCTTCCAGAGATTTGGATGACCCCAACCCTGGTGACCTTCTATAAGATTCTGTAAACCTGGTTCTTCTCAAACTCAGGCCAGTGTGGGATGATCCCATTCACAAGTGAAAAAGTGGAAGATATTATTATTAGTCATATTTCTATGCCGCCCACTCTCCGAGGACTCTGGGCGGCTTACACAAAAGACAGTATACTAAATAGCATATTGCCCCCAACAATCTGGGTCCTCATTTTACCCACCTCGGAAGGATGGAAGGCTGAGTCAACCTTGAGCCGGTGAGATTTGATCTGCTGATCTGCTGAACTAGCAGTCAGCTGAAGTAGCTGCAGTACTGCACTCTAACCACTGCGCCACTTCAGCTCATATGATGATTAGCCTTGGTTATTTAATTTTCTATTGTGGGTGTTTGTCTTGGTTTTTTTTTATATGGTTGGTTGCATAGTTAGCCAGACATTTAGACAGGATTTGGCATTTTTATCCACCTACCCAAAGGATTTGGGGTAGGTAGAAGTTGGGTTGTCCCATACTGTACCCAGAACTGCAAGGATTCTTCTTTGTCAGGTGTTGGCTGGTTCTTTGTGCTCTCTCCATTGATGGATTGGTAGAAATGATTGGGATTCAACTGAAAAGCGGAAATATTGCCTACAACATGCAATTCGAGCTTTGTATCTGCTGATCTTGGCTACGGTTGTTGTTCGTAGCTTTCTTATTTCCAAGGCTTCCTTAATCTTCCTCATTTCTAAGTAACATTTCCTGGATCAAGGATTCTTTGATATTCTTGTTCTTCAACTTCTTTCATCTGTTCTAGCCTGATCTGAATAGGCTGTTCTTATTTTGCAACCTGATCTACCATTTTGGTGGTGCACTGTTTAGCTTTTTTCTTGGTTGATTTTGCATCCAAGGTTACTCAGTTATAACTACAGCCCTGCTGTACTTTAGCTGGTTTGTTTCTTGGAGTGAGCTGTTGCTTATATTTTTTAAAATTATTATATTCTATCTATCTCTATTATACCTCTATCCATCCATCCATCTATCTACCTACCTACCTACCTACCTACCCTGTTTCCCCCAAAATTAGACATCCCCTGATAATAAGCCCAATCGGGCTTTTGAGCACTTCGCAATAAGGCCAAGCGCTTATTTCAAAAAAAATATAAGACAGGGTCTTATTTTTGGGGAAACACAGTACCTACCTACCTACCTAATCATCTATGTCAAAGGACAGAACATATTTGATAACAACTTCCTATTTTCCCCACAACCATAAGAAGTGGGTTTGGCTGAGAAAATTGGCCCAAACTCACCTACCCCACTTTCATGTCTATAACTCACAGCCTCTTCTCTTTCTTACCCAGCACCTTCCTTACTACATTAACCTGGCTTTAGTTTTGTTCCTTTATTTTTATGTTTCTAACCAACTGTAAGCTGTCCAGGGTTACTTCTGTAAGATAGGCAACCATTTAAATAACTATATGGGGAAAGCAGAGAACAGTATCTAGAATGAAGTGAATAAAAAGGGATTTTCAATGAATACACATCTCCTATGCTTTAAAATGAGAAGCTCCCTCTATTACTGAAAATAGTAAACATGTAGCACTGTTTGCAACCTACATTATTTCAGGAAGATGAAATATTTGGCCTCTTACAATAAATCAACATTGTTTTACTCCTAATCATATCATTTGCTTTTAGTTAGAAATGTCACTTGGTTTGGGGTTATAGGTCAGAGATAACAAAAGACTCCAAAGACTCCAAAGATAAATATATTATATTGGCATGGGTTCACATGCTAATTTTAGATAAATAATTAACTGCAAAGTGGCTCTCATTTGTATTGCGTGCCTGAAATGGTTGTTAATGATATCAAATCTTCAGATTGGAAATTCAGTTTCCAAGGGCACAAAGAAGAAAACAAGGAAAACAAAATACTTGCTTAATCAATATATTTAAAGGCCGATTAATTTATGTTCTTGATGCATTTCAAGCAGTAATGTTTTTTCAAGACAATAGTCTAAAATAGTGTTGTCTGACTTTGGTAACTTTAAGGTAGAAAGCCACTTTGGTGAAGTCCTTAAGGGATCAGGCTAGAAACTGGGAGATTGTGAGTTCTAGTCCCATTTTAGGCATAAAGCCAGCTAGGTGACATTGGGCCCTAGGAAGGAGGCAATAACAAACCACTTCTGAAAAACCTTGTCAAGAAAACTGCAGGGAGTTGTTCAAGCAATCTCCGAGAACTGGATACGAGTGAACAGAAGAAAAAAAGATGTTTGGATTTCAATTCCCAGAATTCTCCAAGGAAACTGGGAGTTGAAATCCACACAACTCAAAAATTTATCAATATTGAAAAACACTGCTCTAAAATGTAAATTGAGCAGAAAGCCTATTTCATACGCTACCACGGTGTCTTTCAAACTTGTCAACTTCGAGATTTCAAGTCCCAGAATTCCATGCTTGCATGCAGCGATTCTGATTCTTATTGTGGGTTGTTCAAATGTACTTTCTCCAGTGGAAACATCTGCGCTGTTACTCACCTGGCTGTGTACATTTTGCACACAAAACACTTTTTAGTCCATAGCCAATGTTTTTTGGTTAATAAGGGGTAGAGGCTTCTGTCTAGGCAGTCATCTCGATGAATAAGCCTTGCCAGATAAAAGATTGAGAAAGGAATTGATTAGGCTACACTATACAATGAAAGGGAGAGAAAGTCAGGCGCCTTTATAACAATTGATAATGCTTGTTTCAAGGCAACCAAGGCTGCAGAATGAGTATACACCTATCATTTCGAGAAAGCCAATGCCCAAACAAAGGAGCAAGGGTGTACAGAAGTGAAGGAGGAAAAAAGAATCTGAATTCTCTTCAAATACCTTTCCACACGCAAATCAGCCTGCACGAATCAAACAAGAATGGTGGGGTGATTGGGGAGGAGATGAAAAGATAATGGATCCCCAGAACACCAGCTGACAAAGCACAATTATAGATAATAACCCCCTTTGCAATGCTAACACATGAAGAATGGAAACACAAAAAAATCTCAAATTCCGAACAGGAACCCTCTTGGCAGAGACTCTGCCAAGAAACAGGGCCTTACCTGATATCTGTGATAATAACAATGTGCTCGCAATCTCCTTGATGACAATAAAGGTACGGGAAACCTATTTTTATGTTCAAATCATTAAAGGTGTAGTCTTCCATTTTAGTGGCCCGAAGAGTTCCATAACCTCGGTCACGAGATTCTGCCCACTCAGTAATTGTCCTGAAATTAGCAGAGACAAGATTTTCATCCTTTAAACTGATTTCCATTGCTAAGCAAGGCAGTGTTAAGTGATCTTTGCCTCATTTTAGGACTTTTGTGCCACAGTTGTTAAGCAAATCACTGCAGTTGTTAAGAGAATCATTTGGTCATTAAGCAAATCTGACTTCCCCCGTTGATTTTGCTTGTTGGGAGCTGGCTGGGAAGGTTACAAATAGTGATCACATGACCCCAGGACAGTGCAAACGGTCATGAATATACGTCAGTGCAAGGCGCCCATATTTTGATCATGTGACCTTGGGGATGCTGCAACGCTCATAAATCTGAAAACTGGTTATATGCAAATTTTTCAGTGCCGTTGTAACTTCAAACGGTCACTAAATGAATGGTTGTAATTTGAAGACTACCATTATTTTTGCTATGGCAATTATCAAAGAGAAAGTCTGTAGAGATTCTCAGTCATCCAGGTCATGGCTGTCCCAAAGATGTTTTTCAGTAGGCAACTGGACTTACTTGTTTTTTCTTTTGAAGACATTTCGCTTTTCATCCAAGAGGCTTCCTCAGTTCTGACAGGATCCAAGAAGCCATTCCCCACTGTCCTGTCAGAGCTGAAGAAGCTTCTTGGATGAGAAGCAAAACTCTTCAAAAGAAAAAACAAGAAAGTCCAGTTGCCTTTGGGATATCAAAGAGAAAAAAAAATTAATAAACCAGGTGTCCAAGCTAGAAAAGAAAACATGTTCCTCTCAATGAACAAAATGTTTTGTTTCAACAAGCTGAACAACATTCAAATTAAACTCTAGAGCGTGATCCATGGGAACAAACAGATCAGATAGAAAAAACATGATACAATGAGTGTTGATTCTACTGCCTTAAGAGGAGAGATAGCATGATCAAATAGAACTTGTACAAAGGACAGTGAGATCCCCACGTTTTAAGTAAGAGGCACCCTGTTCAAGAGCCAGGAGGCAACTTCTAATGCATTTAGACCAGTGGTGAAATGCAGCCGGCTCTATCTGGCTCCTGCGTGCTGGTAGCGGCGGGGGCGGGTGGTTCAGCGAGCCAGTAGTGGCAGCAGCGGCGGGAGGCTCCGACCCCCCAACCGGGATGTCTTCACGTCCCGGTTTTGACCCTCTGTGCATGCACAGAAGGCTTTGCGCATGCGCAGATGACAGCACGCGCATGAGTGAAGTGAGTGCATGCGCTGACAACAGCGTGCACACATTAGTGAGCTGGTAGGAATGGTAAGTGCATTTTACCCCTGATTTAGACATGCAGCAAATTCCAACTGGAAGACTGCAACTTGTCCGGTGATAATTCTCAGAACTTCTGGCTACCGCAGAGCACCAATATTTAAAAACCAAATATAAGAACCAGAATTAGAAACCCTTTTGAAAAAAAAAAAAAAGCATGCACTGAAGAGCATTCGGACAATAGAATCAATGGGCAAAAGAGCAATGTTTAATCCATGGGGTATCCAAGTCCCATCATTTTAAAAGCCCTGTCTCCAGGGGTCAAGCTCCAAAATCAAGAGATCTGGATTGGTAGAAGGCAAAAGTTTCCGTCTACTAACTGTCCTTTTTGTCTACTGTAAGCATAGCAATCATCTATTAAGTCCTCATCAAGATGCAAACTAACATGGAAATATATATATCTTCTTAAATCAGTAAATTCAACCATATAGTTGCAACTAACTTGATGGAGAGGCAGTCAAAGTTAGTAAGACTGAGGTTCACAAATGTCAAGTATTCTTTACCTGCTCAAATCTCTGCATTCAGGACTCCTGCTATCATTATAAAAAACACCTTCAAAGTAAAAGAAGGCAGACTTATAGAGATCCTGGGAGAAAGGAAGAAAGACAAGAAAAAAATATTAGTTTGCTAATTAGAATACACAGTAAACCGTATTTTTCAGTCTATAAGACGCACTCCCCCCCCCAAAAAAAAGTGGCTGGAAAGGTATGTGCATCTTATAGAGCAAATGTTGCCGAATCCCCGCCCACCCAGAGGCCCCCACTCTTTGGCCTCTGCCTCCCAGCAATTTGCCTCCTTGCAGCAAACAGCAAATAGCCTGGTCAGCTTCAGCACAGCCTGATTTAGCATGAGGAGCTGATTGGTGGTTAGATCTGCCTCCCGGAATACTGCCAATCAGCTGTTTCAGGCTGCGGGGATCACTGCCAGTGCCTATTGCCACCTCCGTGCATCCCATTTTTGGCCTGTTCCAGGTGGCGGGGGTGCTGTCGCTGCCTATTGTCACTGAATAGCGGGGATGCCCTCCGCCTGGAATGGGCTGAAAATGAGACACATGGAGGCCAAAAAGGGGACACGCAAAGGCCGAAAATGGGGTGCGGCGATGACGGTGATGGGCAGCGACGGGAGCAATGGGCAATGGCAATCCCCGCAGCCTGGAACAGCTGATCAGCTATTCCGGGAGGCCAATCCAATCGCCAATCAGCTGCTTGTGCTAAATCAGGCTGTGCTGAAGCTGACCAGGCTGTTTGCTGTTCACTGCAAAGAGGCAAATTGCTGAGAAGCAGAGGCAGATTTTTTTTTCTTGTTTTCCTCCCCAAAAGCTGTGTGTGTCTTATAATTTGGAGCATCTTATAGTGTGAAAAATACGGTATATGGGTGATATCACATCTTCATGAGCTCCAGTTAAATTTTTGAAATACCAACCAAACTCATTACTGCATCACATTATTAATGTGTCCAGTAGCCATGTTTATAGCAATAGCTTGACGTATTTTAAGGAAAAAAACAAAACTCTATAGAAGTTTCTACAAAGTGTAGTCCCGTGATGGTGAACCTATGTCACATGTGCCACAGGTGGCACGCGGAGCCATATCTGTGGGTACGCAAGTGTTGCCATAACTCAGCTCCAGCGTGCATGTGCGCACCAGCCAACTGATTTTAGGGCCTTCCGGGCCCACTGGAAGTCGGGAAATGGACTGTTTCCAGCCTCCGGAGGACCTCTGGGGGGGTGGGGAAGGCGTGCCCACACCCATAATTCAGTGCGCCCTGCCATCCACCCGCCCTGCCCTCCACGGCCTGATGAGTCCAGTAGGCCCATTTTTTGCCCTCCCCAAGCGCCAGAGGCTTTCTAGGAGCCTGAGGAGGCCTTCCCCACCCCCCACCCCCAGTGATGGCTAACATTTTTGCCATTGTGTGCCAAAAGCAAGGGGGAGCGCGCGTGCATGCACGGGGGGCAGGGCACATTGAATTACAGGTGTGGGCACACACGAACGTGACGCCACCCCCCCGCGCTCTCCCCGCTTTTGGCACGCAATGGCAAAAAGGCTAGCCATCATTGGTCTAGTCCTTTTCTTAAAATTCATCAAGATAACCTCATTTGTTTTCCCCCAGGAATTGATAAGCATATTTTCAAGGGATCAATAATTGAAAGTTTAAGGAACTGTTTTGGAATTAAACTTCCCTCTTTGGAAGTGCGTTAGAAATCAGTATTATGATACCTTGCTGATATTTTCTGGGGCCTGAGCAGGATTATTGCTGAACTCCCCACCAATCTGAAGGTCACTAACACAAGAAATGCAATCTCGAAGCTCGGTAAGTTTTTGGCTCCCTAGGATCAACAGTGTCTGATATGGCTTCCGAAGCTTATGCTGTAAAATAGAGAGGGCAAAGGAAGATCAATCAAAACATTTCTGACAGGCTGAATTTACACATCAGGTTAATTATCTAGATTATCTAGACCCTTTTCAGTCTGGCTTCAGGCCTGGCTACAGCACGGAAACTGCTTTGGTCACGCTGATGGATGATCTCTGGCGAGCCCGAAATGAGGGTCATTCCTCCATCTTGGTGCTACTTGACCTCTCAGCGGCTTTCGATACTATTGACCATGGTATCCTTCTGGGACGACTAAGGGAGCTGGGAGTGGGAGGCACCGTGTTATGGTGCTTCTCCTCCTATCTCTCTGGTCGATCCTAGTCGGTGTTGGTAGGAGGACAGAGGTCAACCCCTAGGCCCCTTGTTTGTGGGGTGCCTCAGGGCTCGGTCCTCTCTCCCCTATTTAACATCTACATGAAGCTGCTGGGTGAGATCATTCGACGATCGGGATGAGGTATCAGGAATACGCTGATGATACCCAGCTGTTTATCTCTACCCCGCGTCAATTCAGTGATGCGGTGGATGTGATGGGCCGGTGCCTGGAGGCCGTGAGGGTCTGGATGGGAGTCAACAGGCTCAGACTTAACACAGACAAGACCGAGTGGCTGTGGGTATTGCCTCCTAAAGACTATGTTGACTGTCCATCCTTGGTTCTGGGGGGGGAAAAACTGTCCCCCTCAGAACGGGTTCGCAATTTGTGTGTCCTCCTAGACTCACAGCTAAGATTAGAGCAACATCTGACAGCTGTGGTTAGGGGGACCTTTGCACAGGTTCGCCTGGTGCACCAATTGCGACCCTATTTGGATCAGGAGGCTCTCCTCACGGTCACTCATGCCCTTGTCACCTCACGGTTAGATTATTGCAATGCGCTCTACATGGGGCTATCCTTGAAAAGTGTTCGGAGACTACAGTTGGTCCAGAACACAGCCGCGCAAGCTGTCATGGGTGCACCTAGATACACCCACATTACACCAATTCTCCGCTGCACTGGCTCCCTATTGGTCTCTGGTCACAATTCAAGGTGTTGGTTATTATCTTTAAAGCCCTACATGGCTCAGGGCCAGGGTATCTTCGAGACCGCCTTCTACCGCATAACTCCCAACGACCAGTAAGATCCCACAGAGTTGGTCTCCTCCGGGTCCCGTCAGCTAAACAATGCCGGCTGGCGGGCCCGCATGAAAGGGCCTTCTCTGTGGCTGCCCCAGCTCTCTGGAACCAGTTACCTCCTGAGGTCCGGACCATCCCCACCCTATTGGCCTTCCGAAAAGCGGTGAAGACCTGGCTTTTCCGGCAGGCCTGGGGCCATTGATCTCGCTCTTGCGATCCGGCGAGATCCGGCCATGAATGGTGTGAATGAGTTTTAATGTTTTTAATGTTTTTAATTCTTAAATGTTTTTTATAATGATTTTAAATGCATTGTGAGCCGCCCTGAGTCTTCGGAGAGGGGCGGCATACAAATTGAATTAATAAATAATAATAAATAAATAATAAATTCATAGTTTGATTTAGTAAGTTGAAACCAGTCAATCAGCCTGTTGCAAGGAAGCAGTCAACTCTATCATTACTTCTCTGTATCTAAATGTATAAAGGGCCTTTTTGCTTTAGGCTGTTCCTTCCAAGAAACCAAGTTAGAGAATTACGACATATGGGATTTATATCAAGAAGGATACCAGATCTGAACTACCCAAATCCTGGGCGGCTATCTAGCAGTCATCTGGATTTTTGCAATCCAAATCTAGTAGCATTAATGAAAAATACGTTTGGGTGCAAACAACACAAACTTTATATAGGCTGGTTCCTGACATATTGTTCTTCATTTGGCTTTAGCTAAGTATATTCTATTCAACTGTAATTGTAATCAACAACCCACAGTTAAATAAACTCTAGCTTAGAGTGGCATGTGATCAAGTCACAGAATCAGATCATTAGTGCAGATATTTCAATAGGGTTCCTATACTGATGGGCAACAGGGTTTTAAGTAAGAGTCTCTTTGACCTCAAATAGCCAAAAAATGGACCGAGCAGAAAACATCCTGCAGTCAAGAAGGCTACACACCCATTTGCACTCCTCAGGTGACCCTGAGGACACAAATAAATCTCCAAATTGCCTCAATGACTCTCTAAAAGAATGCAAATGACCAGCTGTCCCCACCATCCAGTCAGAGCTGAAGAAGTTCCTTGGATGAAAGAAAAACAAGGAAGTCCAGTTGCCTCCTGAAAAAGCACCTTTGGTTTACCTTCTAAGACAATTCTGGAAGGATTAGCACTTTCCCTAATTCAGTGAGATCTAGCCAAAGGTGAAATAACTTTTCTTTAAAATAAAGGACATCTTGTGTCTTGAAATCTTTCTGCAGAAAAGTAGATTCTACTTTGTCATGTTGCCAAAGGACCACACATCAGCAGGCTATATAATTCCTCACACAAGATTCCTGCAAATAAATTGATCTATTTATTAAGAAGCCATTAAAACGGATGCTAAGCTCAATTTCCAACCTTTTGAAATATAACTGGATAAAAAATGTTGAGAGTTAACACAAGTTCAGCTTCGTCAATCATGTTCTCAGGATCTTTTGGCCTTTTTCCAATTGCATGAGATTCCTAGGGGGGAAAAATATATTGGAATGTTGAGTCAGATAATAGAGATCAAAACACCTGCATAGATATTCTATCTGCTGTTCCCAATCTTCCAGATATGTTGGGAAAGCAGGGCAAGTCTGTTTGAAGTACAGCTTGATCAAGCAATATAAATGGTAAAAGTCATCTTAATGGAACGATTGCAATGGTTTTGCATGCTAGATAAACAAACAGAAGGGCATAGCACTTACTTCCCACACAATCTGTCAAATTCCTAGGCTATGGACTGCCAATTAAATTGCCAAAATGTCACACTTGGTTTCAAATAAGACACAAGGTTAAGATGTAATATGCCACTTCCATCAAATGGCACCTTCTGACAGCTATTGGGGCAAAGCTTTCTTGTGATTAGAATGTAAAATCTGAAATTCTATCATTATTGTGTCATTGGAATAATTTCAATATATAATACAGGAAGGGCAGCAGGTGAGAAAGGAGGGCTTACCATCTCATGAATAAATGTTTCTTGTCTACATGCACGATCAACAAGGATGGTTTCTTCTCGCCTCTCCAGAGCTTTCTGCCGAATTCTACAAATGAGAAGAAAGAAAGAAAGAAAGAAAGAAAGAAAGAAAGAAAGAAAGAAAGAAAGAAAGAAAGAAAGAAAGGAGGGAGGGAGGGAGGGAGGGAGGGAGGGAGGAAAGAAGGAAAGAAGGAAAGAAGGAAGGAAGGAAGGAGTAAATGAAGACTCAATCATCCAGGCCAAAAGTATTTAAAAATGGTTAAATCATGGCAACTGGACCAAAGTTTATTAAAACAGTGACGTTTCATTACTTAACCAAGTAAACCTCTCAGTTTTAAGAAACTTTAATCCGGTTGCCATGATTTAATCTTTTTTTTTTTAAAAGACACTTTTGGCCTGGATGACTGAGTCTTCATTTACATGTTTTCCATTTTGGGGAGAACCCCCCCCCCCCCCCCCCCCCGGAAGTCTGTATGGCAAGAATTGGTTCGTTCCAACGCCTCTCTGACTCTTTGCCTACTTAAAATGTTCATCTGAATGAAGAAGTAACTTGGATGAGTAACAAAACATCTGAGTTTTAAGAAACTTTGGTCCAGTTGCCATGATTTAACCTTTTATTTATATATTTATATTTATATTTATATTTATATTTATATTTATATTTATATACATATACATATACATATACATATACATATACATATATATATATATATAGAAAGAAGGTGAAGGAATAAATTCCTAAATCCAAATGTAGGGTCTAATATTCATTTAAGTCAACCTTATAAAACCAGAATTAAGCACCACGTTGGAACTCAACAATTTTTGATTCCAATGCAGTACGAGCTATCTGCAGAATACGGTCAAAACAAGTCAATATCATGTTCAGGATGATGCAAATAGAGCTCAGCCTGTTTTTTATCTGGGATTTTAAAAAAAAACAGGTGGAGCTCCAATCAACCACCACCACTACTGCTAGCTGCCATCTTGAGCTTTTTGACTACACCCTGCGAGAAGCAATTACACAGAATGCTTTCATAACTAAGTGTCTTCTGGATATGTGGGATGATCCTGGGCAGCTCTGCAAAGCGTTTAATACAGGAGTAGTCCATCTTGATCAGCCATTTGGGATTTTGAGAAGATGCAGACATGCTCAGACAAAATCCATTTATCAGAAAGTCAGGTCAGAAAACTGTTCCCAATCACTCATTCTGACCTCTGATGCTTAACTTTTTCTCCCCCTTAACTTTGTCCATGGGCCTGTCACTGATTAATAAATAAAAGCTGGCCAATGACCAAAACTAATGTACTTTGGCTTTAATTAGCAAACATTCATAATGTTAAAAGCTGATATTTTGTTTTTCAGTATGCGGTTTGCAATCTGATTATTAAAGACACTATGACACTGTGGCGGATGAGGAGAATTTCCTGGAGCCCAGGGGGGCATATGTGTACTCTGCATCGCTTATCCCTGATCTAAGATGGTTGAAAATACAGGTAGTCCTCAGCTTACGACCACAATTGAGCTCAAAACTTTTGTTGTTAAGTGAAACATTTGTTAAGTGAATTTTGTCCCACCTTACGACCTTTCGTGCCACGTTTGTTAAGTGAATCACTGCAGTTCTTAAATTAGTAACATAGTTGTTAAATGAATCTGGCTTCCCCATTGACTTTCCTTCTCAGAAGGTCGCAAAAGATAATCACATGACCCTGAGACACTGCAACCCTCATAAATATGCCGACTGTCTGAATTTTGATCATGTGACTACAGGGATACTGCAAGTAAGTGTGAAAAATGGTTATAAGCCATTTTTTTCAGTTGTAACTTTGCGGAGACACTAAATGAACTGCTGTAAGTGAAGGACTACCCATACACCGTTTGAAGAAGGCTAATCACAGTTAAAGAGCAGTGGTAACTTTTAATGCTATTTCAGTATTCGATATAGATATGCCCATTCCTTGGAACAACTAATAATCGAAATAACTGGTTTAACTTGATAGACCCAAATGCCTCAGCCTCTCAGATAAGGTCGTTTGGGAACTTTATAGAAAACAATTAGAAGAAAAAAAATCAATAGGCAAGCGGACATCATTTATGTTACATCTCTTCTCTATAGTGACATTTTTATTTCTCTCATATCTTCTGAAACACCGATTTCCCTCCACTGAACAATGTAGTGCAACTGTGCAACTGTTAAGTAGACATTTCTTTATTTGTAAGATTGATAAACTGCTTCATTTTACAGCAGGGGTATCCAACCTTGGCAACTTTAAGACTTGTGGACTTCAATTCCGAGAATTCATTGGAGTTGGCTGGCTGGGGGATTCTGGAAGTTGAAGTCCACGGTTGCTTAAAGTTGCTAAGGTTGGATACCTCTGCTCTAGAGGTTTTAGGCAGTGTAAAAAAATCAAATCACAATTTAAAAACTATGTAATAAAAACAACAAAACTGTAAGCAATAACAAACTACAACAGCACCCATCTTCCCATAGCTACTTAATCAATATAAATCATGTACGTGTGTACATACTATCAGCGTTTCCAAAGGAAAGGAATAGCCAAGAACATCCATATCTATGCCTCTGCCCACTATACCTCAACGGGCGTTTGATAATTGGCCAAGGCTCCTCTTTTGTGATTGAATAACCCAGTTTGAAAGGGCACCAATGACATGCGTTCAACATTCCAAAGGTGTCCAGGGCCTTGCTGATTCAGCTTAATGAAGACATAATAAATTACAAATTGCTTAGGAAACAGATTTAATCTGATAGTGAGAATGCAAAATAGGTTTCCCAGATGTAGGCAAGCTTTGCGTTAGCAAAAAAACCCTCAACAATACAGTAAAGGAACCAGTATAATGGAGGCATTATTGGAATCAAGTATGTGGTCATAAAATTATTGGGAAGAGTTGTAAACAGAATGTTTGGCTTTATTGAAAGGGCCTGTAAACAGAAGGCCACCCAAGGCATTACAGCGATAAACACAGCATCTCTTTGCATGTTAGCATACAGTGAAATACAATTATGACAATTTGTTTAAATTTAAATTAAGTTTAGTACTGAATAATGACCTAAAGTCTATGTTAGCGGTATGCAATCAGGCAAACTAACTGAATTAAGCCATCATAGTTTGTCTGCTTTGGCTTGGCATGTTGTATCCATCTGCTCATTGCCTTAGTTCATAAACAGTTCTTAAAATTACTGATGGATTAGAACAAACTTCCAACTAATCAGAATTGCAACTGAAGATATAATTCAACATACTTAAGAGTTATTAAGTTGGTATCTTCAGGTATCACTTCTGTATCTTCTTTATCAGAGCTCTTCAGTGCAGCAATGCTAAAAACAATACAAAATTAATTCTATAATTGCAGGAAAAGTCAACTTGTAAATATATAAAAATATACAGAAACATACAGCTACATGTACAGTAGGAAGTAAAATTAAACAATTGCCAAGAAAATATTTTCGGACCAGATAGCTAATGCTATTGTAGACTTCTCTTTTAGAAGCATAAACGGTATGGCTGGATTCACAGATTACAGTAAAACACAATGTAATCAGGTTTTTCTTTGATGAGTGTGTTCAATAGACCAGCTATTGTGGTTTATGTACAATATTTATGGCCTAATGGGTTGAACTGAACCCACAAAATTGAAACCTGTTACCATGGTTCAGCAAATAGACTATGACTCAAGTCTAACCTTCAGCCATTGGTAAAAAAAAAATAGACTATTTTTCATAATTGGAATGAAGAAAGCCAACCATTTATTACTTCCAATTCCTGTTAGCTAGTACTCATCTGAAAGATAAATCATCTTTTATGCTTAAAAAAGTAAGAAGTAAATTTAAAAATTAACAGTTCTATAATACAGAAACGTACATTAGACAAAACATTCTCTACCAGACTACGGATAACTTCTACAGCTAGTACTGATTTTGTATAGAAGAACAGCCTTTTTTTAGTAAAACTAGTTACTATTTCCTGTTTCTGTTAGTAAAAAATCAGGCATTTCTGTATTAAGAAATATGGAGTTGAGACAAAAATTAGCAGCTCCAAATCTGCCTCACTCATAATATGTTTTGAAGCTTTTCCATGACCCCAACATCATCTTAATGGTGTACATTCTCTTTCCCCACATCTGTGGCTGCAATAAAAAAAATATAAAATATACAAAATAGAACGTCAGGAGAAATGTCTTGTTATGTAAGGACTCTATTTTAAAAGATAAGAGTTGGTCTCCCTCAAAATATAGGCAAGATATAGGCACACATGTAGCGTAACGTTATTCTAAAGGACTCAGTGTATGTTCATGTGGAAAGAAGACACCCAGAGGTCACGGTGCACATGTAGAGTTAACATCTAAATGTTCGATTTTTAGAGGAATTACTATGTGTATCTCAATAATTGTGGGCTTGGCACAACAACCAAACAGAACAGCTACAGACTTCAACAGATAGTTAGGACTGCACAAAAACAACTGCAACCAGCCTGCCTTCCATTGAGGATCTATACGCTGCACGAACCAGAAAGAGGACTGAGAAAATATCTACAAACCCCTCACATCCTGGACATAAACTGTTTCAGCTTCTCCTCTCTGGACGCCACTATAGAGCATTGCATGCCAAAACAATTAGATTCAAAGATAGTTTTTTCCCCCTGTGCCATCACTCTGCTGAATCCCAAATTCTCACAGCACTGTCCTAGGCCTAAATATATTTATCCATGTAGTAGGCTGCATTGATATTACCTTCTCATCTTTCCTACTGTCCCTTTTTATTGGTATCTATGATTTATCACTTGTTGTATATTATGATTAATGGTTGTAACTACAACCTATGATATAGGACCTATCACTTTGTTGTTTATATGTACACTGACAGCTTTTACACCAAAGACAAATTCCTTGTGTGTCCCAAATACACTTAGCCAATAAAGAATTCTGTTCTGTTCTGTTCCGTTCCGTTCCGTTCCGTTCCGTTCTGTTCCGTTCCATTCCGTCCCGTCCCGTCCCATCCCCATCCCCTCTAATACTAAGCAGAGCATTCCCATTAAAAAGAGAGGCAACACCCTCAGATGATCACTGGGATGACTTGGGAACCATTACTCTCTCATCCTAATCTCACAGGGTTGTGGCTATATGGAAAAATAGGGAGGAGAGAACATTGTGTCCACAACTTTGAAAGGACCAGAATGAAAGGTGGAACAGAAATCAAATTATTGTACTTTTTCTTTGATACCGTATACATTTTTGCTGCAGAGGATAAGGACAAACACCACGGCTGCAATTCCAAAGAAAAGATGAAGAGTTAGAAGAATTCCAGGACTGACAGCATCCCTGTCACCCTTCAAACACAGGACTCTGAATCTATTTCAGTCTTCATCCAGTTTTCAGTAGTCAATGACAAAACCCATCAGACAATAATAACTGGTCTATAATGTAGCTTAAGTACATTTGAGGGAAGCTACAATTCCATTTTTACCAGTATAGTTTTATTGATTGACTGAATATGTGCCAGCAAATCCGTATCGACTCTTTGTGTTATAGTCCTCCATTAATCTCAGAGAGGCTTAATTCTAAGCAAATATATACATGATCAGGCTGAAAGTATAATTAAGACCGCAGAGCTATGTTTACACTGGAAAAAAACACGAGTCCCTGAATTTAATAAGAGTTGATTAAGTGAGGAGAGAATTCAAAGGGCGTTAACGTTGGCCAATTAAGGAAATTAAGCAGAGTGGGTTTGCTTAATTCATGGATGGGAAACTTCCAGGGAATATCAAGGTGGAAAGCTTTTCAAAAAATATTTTAGAAAAAGGTAAGGACAAAGCACTTTCATACTTCTTCTAAAAAAAAACCTGCACAAATACGTCTCCATCCTTCATGTCTTTCCGGAAGTTCCTCAAAACTTAACTGTGTCAACAGGTTCGGGGTTTTAAGGACTTAATGATTTAATAAGGTAGCTATCTCATTTATAAGATCTAATGCTTTCTCTTAGCCCTTTAATAATATTAACGTTTTAACTGTGGAATGTTTTTATTATTTTATGTTTACAGAATCACATTTTGTGAGATGGTTGGCCATACAAATATGGATCCATGGACGGATCGATGGATGGATGGAGCAAGCAAGCAACCAGAAACATGTGTGGATAAGCTGTAACTGATGATAGGTTTGTTCGTACATAAACCATGAACAAACACAGGTTTGTTCTTTACGATTTATATTGTGTAGGAAGAAATATCCTTCTGGGTTCTGCTCCAAGTGGGGAAAAAGACACTGGAAACATGGAGACTGCTTGGAAAGATGGTTTAATGGTGGACAGGATCACATGGTTTGAGTTGCTGAACAGAAAAGGGGCGAGATACAGTGAGTCCCCGGGTTTTATGCTCTCTCTGGCTTTGAACTTCCTGGGGCCCAGAAAGAGTATCCTGATTGGTTGTCAGACTTCCAGGGGGTGGGGGTTTTAGCTAGCCTTGCTGGCTGATGTAATCTTCCCAGGTGCCATGTGGTGAGTCTCTGTTGCTAGATGGGTCCCATTGTGTTGCAGATGTCCTTTGACAAAGGATTGGGTTTCTGCCTCTGGCCCATTAACAAAGGGTGGGGGGGGCAGGAAGGTGGGAGCTGCTTTGTCTTTAAAACATGCTTCTCCATTTCTCATCCAGGGAAACGTAATATTCTGCCTTTTTAATATTTCCCAAAATATTTCATTCTTCTAGGAAAGGGGTGGGTGCTAACTTCCTATAATTGTTTTATTTAGTTTCCTAGTATGATGTATGTTGATTATTTAGTATCCTATGACTATCACTGAGTGTTGCATCTTATTATTTGTGATGAGTGTATTTTTATGATGACTATGATCATGATTTAGCACGTATAGCTTTTATGTACCCTGAGAGCTGATGCACTGAAGACAAATTCCTTGTGTTGTCCAATCACACTTGGCCAATAAATAATTCGATTCTAATTCGATTCTAAAACTGAGATCAAAACAAAAGGCATTCAAGTGATGAGATTTAAACTGTAGGTCTCAAAATTGCAACTCGACACAGCTAGCCAGGAAGCGGGATGAGCTACCTGCATACAGCTTTCAGCTCTGCCGCGATCTCCGGCGTGCAGAGAAAATCCTCCATCACCGCCGCCTCGTCGTCCGCCGCAGGTTCTGCCTGCTGGAGAGACACGTCTTGCTGGCGCAGCGCCTCCTTCCAAAGAGACCCAAAAGCGCCCACGTGGAACGCCCGAGTGTTCAGATCCACCGTCTCATAATCGGGGATATTATTTCTGGACCCCGTGCTGCTTCCAGCCATTTTTGCATCAGGATTTAGCCCAGAGGAGACGAGGTGTGAAACGGATGTGGGGCCCCAGTGGCTTCTGGGACTTGTAGTTTCTTTCCCTCCAAACGGCAGAGAGACTTGACGCCGTTCAACATGGCACTTCCGATGTTGCTTGAGCTATAGCTTCCAGAGGACTCAGCCAATAAGATCAACGATAAGGAATGCTGGGAGTTGTAGTTCGAATTTATCGGAGGGTTCCTCAGGAGCCGGGCGCTCGTTTAAGGGACGAAGCGTTCGCTGATTTTTTTTTCCCCAGAGAATTGTGGAAATAACCAAGTGTCCCACGCTCGTGTGTGCAGATTATTTTTCTATATCTAAATAACAATCGTGCAAAATTAGAAAAGAATGAAGCCAGAGCGGCAGCGATTGTCTACGCCCACTAGATTGTGTCTAGTTTTAAATTCTGCTGTAATTTTATATCATTTAAAAATCGTGCTATTTACGTTGACACATTCTGTACGCTTTATTAAAAAGCTAGGGCACAAGTTTTATATATATATATAAACCTTGTGCCCTAGCTATCCAGTCTAAATATTTGGCTGACTGTGCTAATAATAGTAACAACAACAACAATAATAATTAACCACTTTTTTAACTTTGTAAAAAAACACTCTACTCAGAACTGCCTATATACTTCTTAGATGTTACCTTGACAGCTCTTAGGTTCTTGGTTAGGACCTGAACTGTTAAGTCTTTACCAGTTGCAGAGAAGAGAAGAGAAGAGAAGAGAATTCTTTATTGCCCAAGTATGATTGGGCACACAAGGAATTTGTCTTAATGCATATGCTCTCAGTGTACATAAAAGAAAAAGATACATTTGACAAGAATCATAAGGTACAACACTTAATGATAGTCGTAAGGTTCAAATAAGCAATCAAATCATATTAGGAAACAGTCAATATAAATCATAAGGATACCAGCAACAAGGTTACAGGGAGAAGATGGGTGATAGGAACGATGAGAAGATTAATAGTAGTGCAGACTTAGTAAATAGTTTGACAGTGTTGAGGGAATTATTTGTTTAGCAGAGTGATGGCGTTTGGGAAAAAACTGTTCTTGTGTCTAGTTGTTCTGGTGTGCAGACTGTTAATTGAATTGAAGATTAAATAATAACAATAATAATAGATATAGCAACCTGATTAAGAACACTGACATTTAGTACTGAATAATGACCTAAAGTCCCTTAAATGACCTATATGATAGTTGCCGTTCTATCATGTCCAGAAAACACCAGCTTGAGTGTTTGTTAATATTCTTAATTAAAAAGAAGCTCATTTGAAATTCTATGTTGAAGTCATCTGGGCATGAAAAATATTTTTGATAACTAGATTTTGTATGCTATTTTATTATGTAGCTTCATTTTTTAAAGGAAAATTGAAAGTTAACTCATTTTGTACCCATTGCACATTATTTCATTTCCTGATGATACCAGTTAATTGTCTTAGTCAAAAAGTATATCACATTTTTTTAAATTAAAGAATACACACTTAGGCCAACATATCGAACATACAAGCCCATTAACAGCTGAAGATAGGCACTCCCCCATCACCTTCCAGCCCAATGCTTTCTGACAACAATTGCTATGGCATAGAATTCGATCACATTTGTGGAGACTTTATGGTTCTCATCTAATAAGAAACACAGTGATGGCTGTTAGAACTAGTTGGATAATCGGCAATTAGGGGAGTAATTAACTCCACTCTCTGTAGATGGGAAAGAAAAGCACATGTACAATTGTTGCAATTTCAGTGTCAGACTGAGACATATGCACAAATGCTCTTGATAGAGGATGTAATTAAATCTCCTCTCAGTACCCTTGAGAACAGTGTCTTAACAATAGCAATCTGAGTATCTTCCTATGTTAGGGTACAAATATACATAAAAACATTTGGAGATGCTAAAATGTGGATACATGAGCTGATTAAAGAAGAGGTATGAGATGTGGGGTCTTTGGTACTCTCTAAGTTTGGTTGTTTTCTTTGCAGATATTTCATTATCAAACTAAGTAACATCATCAATGCTTTAAGAGAGCATTGCTCTTTATTTATATACAAGTGGCTAAATGTAGAGCAAACCCCACACCCTTCTAGCACTGATGATGTTACCTAGTTGGGCAATGAAATATCTACAAGAATACAACCAAGGTCAGAGAGCACTAAGGACCTGATAGTTCAACCCTGAGTTGCAAATATTCTCTTCTAAAGGTATGAATTGCCAACATGATCATCAACATTCGATGATGGATATGGCACAATAATAATAATAAGAGATATGAGATGTTAAGATTATCCCTTAGTACATCAAGATTGAGGATTCTTTGTTTGACCTCATTCCAGGCTTTGTCCAATCACAACACAAGTACAGATTGGAAGATAAACCCACAATAATCTATATCAGAACAGCTGTCATTTGTTTTTTCCATGGGGAATTGAATCTGTACAATAAGGTGAACTAGAGACTCATGCTCCTAGTTATGTTTAAGCAAATATTTTAACTGGCACAGACAGTTAAGCTAATATTTTAACTGGCACAGCCTCAGAAAAGCCTCCACAGATATTCAGCCAGGCTCTAACTAAAGTGGGACAGGAAATCAGAACAAAGCTCTCAGAAATGCAACCTGGGTAGTTTCTAGAGTAAGGAAATCATTGTGTGTCATATAGCTTTGAAAAGTTGAATTCCTGCAGGCACATAGTTACAACATGTGTATCTGGTTATTGCATTAGACACTTCAATTCATGTACATGAAGAAGACACAAAAGATGTATTCAGAAGATACACTGAATGATTGATTATGTATTGTTTGTTTGTATATAAAATAAAAAAAAACTTTTTAAATAAAAAAAACTATTTTTTATGTGGTTTATTTCTACATTTTAGCTTAGTAATGTAGTGCTAATGCGTGGATGTTTTGTTGCAACCCTATGAGAAACAGAAAGAACAGCAGATTTATTTATTTACCTCTCACTAAGGAGGTACTCTAGGCAGCTTACAACAATAAAAAGGAAGAAATGAAAGGAGTGTAAAAAACAAACCAGGAGTAAAATAGTAGAACAATAAAATAATTAGAACGATAAGAATACAATAATATGTAAGAGTGGTTTATGAGCTAGAGGATGAAGGATTCAATGAGAACATAAAGCACCCGAATACTTTGCATGCTAAAATCTGTCATTGTTTTGTTTATATACGTAGCCCATGCTTAGCAACAGGCTCGTGCATGCGCGCTCGCTTCGCTTGTGCACGCACCTTGCTTCTGCACATGCGCAAATCGCCGATGATGACATCCGGGGCGGTGGGCGGGGCCTCCCGCTGGTTTTACTACCGGTTCTGCTAGTAGCCAGTGATCAGCAGAAGTAGCCTGCAGTACTGCACTCTAACCACTGCGCCACCACGACTCATAACTTTAAGTTATGTGGATTTCAATGTCCAGTTTCCTTGGCCAGCATGTTGGCTGGAGAATTCTGGGAGTTAAAATTTGCACATCTTGAATTTTTTTTCCCATCTGATCAGTCATGTCTGATTCTCAAAGACTGCCTGGACAAGGCCCTGCAGTTTGCTTGGCAAGGTTTTTCAGAAGTGTTTTTCTTTTGCTTCCATTCTAGGGCTGAGAAAGAGTCACTGACCCAAGGTCAGCTAGCTGGCTTTGTGCCTAAGATAGGACTATAACTCATAGTCTTTCAGTTTTTAGCCTGATGCCTTAACTGCTACACCTAACTGCCTTTCCTACATCTAGTATGGAGATGTGATTAATAGCAATAAGGAGTCTTTAACCTTTCACTTTTGCTGAATTTGTGGAAAGTACAGATAGTTGACTTACAACAGTTCGTTTAGTGACCATTTGAAGTTACAACAGCACTGAAAAAAGTGACGTTTGACCATTTCTCACACTTATGACCGTTGCAGCGTCCCCATGGTCATGTGATATTTATTTGGAGGCTTGACAACTGATTCATATTTATGACTTGCAATGTCCCGGGAGTCATGCTACCCCCTTTTGTGACTTTCTGACAGACAAAGTTAATGGGGAAGCCAGATTTATTTAACCACCGTGTTACTAATTTAACAACTCCAGTGATTCACTTAACAAATGTGGCAAGAAAAGTCATAAAATGGAGCAAAACTCACTTAACAAATTTCTCACTTAGCAGCATAAATTCTGGGCTCAGCCATAGTTGTAAGTCATGGACTACCTCAGAGGTGGATTTCAGCAGGTTCTGACCAGTTCAGGAGAACTGGTAGCAGAATTTTTGAGTAGTTCAGAGAATTGGTAGTAAAAATTCTGACTAGCCCCTCCCCCATCTGTTCTCTGCCTCCCAAGTCCCAGCTGATCAGGAGGAAATGGGGATTTTACAGTATCTGTCAGCACTTCAATCTGCATTTACTTTAGTGCTGACATAAGAAGGAGAAGCGAAGGCGTCTGGAAAGGGATGTTTGACTTTTCACCTACTTATTTTCCCTGGAGATAATATCCCCTAGGAGATGAGATGGGAGGGGGGAAATTCCTTTGAGCTGGAGTAGATTAGGGGTAGAATGACTTGGAAGATGGCCAATGAGTGCAGGGGAGTGGGGAACGGAAAGGGAGGGTTTTGGAGCTGGAAGTCAGTGTTGGCTTCGATTGGAGTCGGGTTAGAATGTCGTGCTTAATAAATAGGAGTTTTTCTTCAAAGACTGTGTTTGAAATGCAATTTATTTGAGACAACCTCGAAACTTGACAGTATCCTTCCCCTGGAGTGGGGGGGGGGAAATGGAGATTTTGCAGTATCCTTCCCCTGCCACACCCACCCAGCCACACCCACCCAGCCATGCCATGCCCACAGAACCGGTAGTAAAAAAAATTGAAACCCACCATTGGACTACTTGTAGTAGAAATCTTTCTGAAGTCTAACATCAGATCAATTTGAATTTCAGGGGTGCAATCTCTTTTCAGTTACCTCCTGAGGTCCAGACTACCCCACCCTATTGGCCTTCCGGAAAGCGGTGAAGACCTGGCTTTTCCGGCAGGCCTGGTGCCGTTGATCTCGCTGTTGCAATCTTGCGAGATCCAGCCATGAATGGTGTG